TATCTCGGGAATCACGGAAAGATGTTCATCCTTCAAGGTTTCGAATTCAGCTTTCATGCGTTGATGCGTGAAATTTTCAACTATTTTCCAATGTTTGAACTATTTTTGCATAGACAAAAGAACAAAGCAATGAAATGAAAATCATTAATAGGCAACCAGTCGATGTCCTGAATTGCACAAAACGCATGATCGCATCGGCTGGTCTGGTGCGCGTTGCTATTTATTGTTCTTATTTCATCCCTTGTTAATATACCTTTCTATTACTCGGATGCATAGCAACCTATCACGGAAGTTTCTTGATTATTGTAGATAACAGTTGCCGTGGTTTCTTGCGTCGGTATGAGTGGTTTTCTTCTTTCTGTGCATGCATTTGGCTTCGTTTGCCCAGTTTTGTTAGGGGCCTGTCTTTTATTCGTTTGTTTTTTGTTCATGCTTTTAAATCCGTTCATTCTCCTTGCGGTCCTAAGGAAAACATTGCTTCATTGGCCGATCAGTTTTGTCGTTTCAGTAAGCGGGCAGCGCTTCTCCCCATTCACACTTATTATGCCCCTCTGTGGTTTTCATTCTCAAATTATTCTATTTTGGGCGTTATGCCTCTCCCTGCTTTTTGAAATTTTTTTTTGTTCTGTTTACATTGGGACAGTTGTTTTCCGCACAAATATTCCAGAATTGGGCCGGATTTTTTGAGTGTGCCGAGTCTGTTTATCAAAATCTTCTGTATGTGAAGAATTATTTTTTTGCGAATTCCTTTATCATGATTCATGGAGTGAAGACAGTGCAACACTGGCACTGATTTAATTTTTTCCCCCTTATCTTATAGATGCATTCCCAGCAACAGCAGCAGCATTACATTCAGCAGGGTATTTTGGCGAGTACTGCGACGCTTGGGCAAATTGCACGAAATTTGGCACCGAAGATGACAGTCCCAAGTATTTTTTTTAATTGCTAAAGTTTTTTTGACAAAAAATGAGAAATTCCTGAAAAGCTCGAATGGCATCTGTCGAAACCAGCAGTATGCGCGGCGCTAAGGACGGTGCGGGAAAGTATCGAGGTTTTTGACGTTAACTGCATACTTGCTTGAAGTATACTGAGAATGCTTAGTCATTCGGTGTTAGAAGTGCCTTAGTGTTTATCACTTTGAACATGCGTCCTGATTTGGCTTCGTTGATTGTGAAAAGGAGGAAATTACTGAAAATGGGAGGCAGTGGCAAAGGTTTCGCAGAAAAGTTAGCTCTGAGATGTGGCAGTGTCATAATAGAGTCAAATGTTCATGGAAATGGTCAAAACCCATAAAGAGCAGGGGGCCAGCGCAAGCTTTTTTTCAATAAAAAGTTATAAGTAGGGATTTCCGATTATCTCGACATGACCGTAGCTAACCGTAGCTTCTTGCGTAACGTTGTATTTAGCGACTCCCAGTACAGGGAATTTTTTTGGCCTCGGATACGCTGGCTCTGTTTGTATTTGATAAGTTGACCAAGCCCAAGTTGTATTTCGAGCATACATTCGACCGGAGATAATTCCACTGCCCGTGCCAGACATGCATGTGCGGTTTTAATATTCCGTGCCTTTAATTAACTTTTAAAGTTGTTAGTTTATTGGTAATACTAAGACATTTGCTGTACAGGTTCCAATAATATAAAAGAACAAAAAACGTGGAAATCAAGTATCCCACCTGGGTGGGTTTGCTGAATGTTCAGCGAGATTCCTTCATCTGACTGGTTCTGTGTAGGTCGACACTTTATTTAAGTTTACTGAAGAGCTAGTTAATATGTTCGGGAAGATTCTTGGAGCTATTGCAATATTTGTTTGAAACTTTCTCACCCGTGATGCCGTAACTTTTGTTGTAGTTAGACTTAAGTGCTTGAAAGCCACTTCTAATTTTCTTTATAACATTCCCCTCCACTGTTGTTGATCAGCTCCTCTCAGTTACTAGGTAGTTTTGTCATTCGGCTCGCAGATGGCTGCTTTCATTTTATCGGAAACTGAGCTGCGCAGACAGTTTTGAAAAAACGTTTTACTCAGTTTTTCCGAATAGCAACTTCATCCCAGCTTCTCGGGTATCACCTCTGAATCACGGCAGCAGTAGTGAGGTTAGTACGAGTAGAATAATGATGCAGTTGTTAAGGCCTGCAAGCAGTTTTTGTTGCACGAAAAATGACAATCATCGAAGGATTGGAAAAACTACTGTTCAGTTTGGTTGGTTTCTTTTCCCCTTCACCGGAACTATAGCTACTCGACTAGAAGGCTGAAAGAAGAAGCTTGCATAGAATTAATCTGGATTCTGATTTATCGTTCTAAGCCACGCGTCCGAAACGCGGTGAGAAGTGCAGCTTTGTATCTCCTATTTATCGATTACAAAAAAAGCATTCGATAGCGTCAAAGTGGTTCTTGTTCTATTAGCCTCTGCATATGAAAATTTCGATGGGAATTATATCAGAACAGCGCAGAAGTATAAACTGATTGGCAGATGTAATACTGCCCAAACAACGATATTACCAAATTACATTACCTATGAAGTCGCTTATCAGTGTTTTAACAGTTCATGCTAGCGTAGCAAATATCTCTTTTTAAATTTCTAGTGTCTGCAGCGGGCATCAGTACTCAGTTACCAACTGCATCAACTACTACAATCACTGCTACAGCTCCGCTTGGCATGCAGCAGAGCGACACATCCTCGCTACGGCCGGCACAGCAACGGTCTTCCACCCAACAATCGCAACAACAACAACAACAGCCAATGTATCCACAAGGTAGCTAATTACAGTTTACGATATTTTTCGTCGTCTGAAATGGCCAGTGTGAACTCGTCCCTGCCTTTACCACTGTCTTTTTCGCACCCAGAATCGCTGTTCTGATTGGGAAAAGACAACGATTAAAACAAGAACGCTTTCAAATAAATAATTTCTTTTCGAATTTTCTTTTAAAATCGCCCAGATTTCGCCCCGAATCCGTTGCGAGATGCACCCGTACAGATTGGCCGTAGCATGATCCTTCTCTCAAAAATTCAGTTTCTGATGATCCCCGTTTCCACTAACGTCCGGTTTACTTTTTTGTGTGTGCAGCTAAGAGATGAAACACAGACCGCAAACTGATTTGATCTTTCACTGTATGAAAAAATTTTTATGCAGCTTACGTCATATTTCTGCTCATGTATACATAACTTCCAGTTGAATTTCGATTGTATGTATTCTCATCTTTTTTTGCAAATGCTAGGCCCAGTGCTGTTTGACCAGCACAACAGCGACCACTTGTGCCGTTCACTGAGCTTTAGCTTTTTCCCCTGACTGCAACTACATCTTACACTCGGTGTTTATCCAGCTCGAGGATTTTCCCCTTTTTTACCCCAATTTTTGTTTCTTTGCCACTTTTACCGCTCCGTCCTCTTTTTCTGATCGCACAGTATGCTTTCGCTCCCATTCTACCCATGGCAAACTCCTGAAAAGGATTTTGATTTATGTGGATTTATTTGGTAGACAACATAAATCAAAGTCTTTTTGTTGAATACAACGACTAGTTTTACATCAGTTTTAAGCTGACACTAACGTGTTATCGTGCCGGGGTCCTCCAGATTGTTTCACAAGCATTTCCAAGAAGAAAGAGCTTTGGCAGGTCTTGGTTGCTTTTTGAAGCTCTCCGAGTGCTGTCACTCGAGTCACTTTCAGGGGTATACATCAAAATAAAAGGGAGCTTCGACAGCAGCCTATTTGTCGGCTCGTGAAGCAGCAAAAGTTAGGTGGCGTGATGCGTTGCTTAAGTGACATTTCAGCTTTTTGGAGCGAATAAAGCTACGATTCGCTTAGCAGCCGTAGTGTTAGTCGGAAAGTAATTTTCGACAATGAAATGAATAATTCGTCCTGTGTTTATAAAGCAGATGGCAGGAACGCCGTTGTCTTTCGTTATGAAGTGAACGCGTTCCGCCACCACGCATCACTTCTCTGCTTCAGAGTGACATCGCACTGCTTCAACGGCTTTTTTTAAAGCTTATCCTAAAGCTGATTAAA